TTCACAATTTGGGTCATGGGTTTGATAAACTTGACCCTTGAGCTACCAAATGTGTATTTCTTGGTTATTCCCGCACACAGAAGGGGTATCATTGCTACAGTCCTTCTCTGCTGTCGATGTCACATTTGACGAATCTATTCTATATTTTTCAACACCTTCTCAGCCTTTGGATCTAGACTTTGAGTCGTCTCTTGTCCCACCATCATTTCTCTCATCTTTAGATATTCCGCTGTCCACTGTGTTACCATCAACTTTACCTCTTCGTGTATACTCTCATCGTCCTTGACCATCGACTAAGGTGCGTGTACCATCTTTCTTGCCGCCTTCTGATCCTAGTCCATCAGATAATTTAGACTCTTTACCTATTGCTCTTCAAAAAGATACTCGTTCGTGTATTACTAATCATCTCATTGCTCATTTTGTTTCATGTGATGCATTATCTCTTGTCTTATCTTGTTTTACCTCTCAATTATCTACTATATCTATTCTTAAGCATTTACAGAATGCATTATCTGATCCGGGTTGGAGGAAAGTTATGGAGGATGAGATGGATGTCTTACACCATAATGGGACTTGAAATCTCGTTCCTTTACCTCCTGGTAAACGAACAATTGGTTGTATTTGGGTGTATATTGTTAAATTTTATCCGGATGGTTCTATGGAGCGTCTCAAATCTCAGCTTGTTACAAAGGACTTTACTCAGACCTATGATGTTGATTATAAGGAGACTTTCTCTCCTGTTGCCAAAATTTTCTCTGTTTGTATCTTGATTTCTTTGACTGCTAATCTTGATTGGCCCTTATTTCAGTTAGACGTCAAGAATGTCTTCTTACATAGTGACTTGGTTAAAGAGGTATACATGAAACAGTCACCTGGATTTACTACTTAGGGGGAGTATGGTAAAAGTGTATGTCGATTAAAAAAAATCTTTGTATGGTTTGAAGCAGTCACCGAGGGCATGATTTGGTAAGTTTTCAGATACAGTTNTAAGAGTGTATGTCGGTTAAATAAATCTTTGTATGGTTTGAAGCAGTCACCGAGGGCATGATTTGGTAAGTTTTCAGATACAGTTTTAGAGTTTGGTCTTCTTCGATGTCAGACAAACCATTTTGTGATTCATAGACAGACAGATGCTGGATATGTTCTATTGGTGGTCTATGTAGATGATATTGTGATCACTAAAAATAATTCTGAGGGAATTGCCAAGTTAANACCTTTCGTAAGGAAATAAAAACTCAGTATGGTTGTTGTATACGTATTTTACGTTCTGATAATGCTCGGGAATATGAATCTGATCCTTTTTCAACTTATCTTAGTAAAACTGGCATTATTCATCAGACTTCCTATGCTTACACATCTCCTCAGAACGGTGTTACTGGACGCAAGAACCGTTATTTGTTGAAAATCACTCGTGCCCTGTTATTCCAAATGAATATTCTCCAATATTTTTGGAGTGATGTTGTTCTTACTGCTTGTCACCTTATTAATCGTATGTCATCCTCTGTGTTAAATGGACAAAGTCCATATTCAGTCCTTTTTCTTGGTAAGCCTTTATTTTTCCTAACTCCCAAGGTTTTTGGATGTGTCTGTTATATTCACAATTTGGGTCATGGGTTTGATAAACTTGACCCTTGAGCTACCAAATGTGTATTTCTTGGTTATTCCCGCACACAGAAGGGGTATCATTGCTACAGTCCTTCTCTGCTGTCGATGTCACATTTGACGAATCTATTCTATATTTTTCAACACCTTCTCAGCCTTTGGATCTAGACTTTGAGTCGTCTCTTGTCCCACCATCATTTCTCTCATCTTTAGATATTCCGCTACCCACTGTGTTACCATCAACTTTACCTCTTCGTGTATACTCTCATCGTCCTTGACCATCGACTAAGGTGCCTGTACCATCTTTCTTGCCGCCTTCTGATCCTAGTCCATCAGATAATTTAGACTCTTTACCTATTGCTCTTCGAAAAGATACTCGTTCGTGTATTACTAATCATCTCATTGCTCATTTTGTTTCATGTGATGCATTATCTCTTGTCTTCTCTTGTTTTACCTCTCAATTATCTACTATATCTATTCTTAAGCATTTACAGGATGCATTATCTGATCCGGGTTGGAGGAAAGTTAAGGAGGATGAGATGGATGTCTTACACCATAATGGGACTTGAAATCTCGTTCCTTTACCTCCTGGTAAACGAACAATTGGTTGTATTTGGGTGTATATTGTTAAATTTTATCCGGATGGTTCTATGGAGCGTCTCAAATCTCGGCTTGTTACAAAGGACTTTACTCAGACCTATGATGTTGATTATAAGGAGACTTTCTCTCCTGTTGCCAAAATTTTCTCTGTTTGTATCTTGATTTCTTTGACTGCTAATCTTGATTGGCCCTTATTTCAGTTAGACGTCAAGAATGTCTTCTTACATAGTGACTTGGTTAAAGAGGTATACATGAAACAGTCACCTGGATTTACTACTTAGGGGGAGTATGGTAAAAGTGTATGTCGATTAAAAAAAATCTTTGTATGGTTTGAAGCAGTCACCGAGGGCATGATTTGGTAAGTTTTCAGATACAGTTTTAGAGTTTGGTCTTCTTCGATGTCAGACAAACCATTTTGTGATTCATAGACAGACAGATGCTGGATATGTTCTATTGGTGGTCTATGTAGATGATATTGTGATCACTAAAAATAATTCTGAGGGAATTGCCAAGTTAAAAATCTTCTTACAAGATCGATTTCATACTAAAGATTTGGAAAAACTCAAGTATTTCTTGGGAATTGAAATGGCTCGATCTAAACAGGGTATTTGTTTATCACAGAGAAAATATGTGCTTGACATGCTAGAGAAAGCAGGTTTGCTAGGTGGCAGACCGATTGATGTCCCTATGGATCCGAATCAAAAACTATTGATGAATGATGATGCACTGTTTAAGAATCCAGGTCGGTATCACAGATTGGTTGTGAAGCTTAATTATCTCACTATTACTCGCCCAGATATTTCCTATGCAGTCAGTATAGTAAGTCAGTTCATGGGGTGTCCTAGAGTACCACATTGGGAGGCAGTTACTCGTATTCTGCGATATCTCAAACGAGCTCCTGGACTTGGACTTTTATATCGAGCTAATGGACATCTTAGAGTGGAAGGTTTCTCAGATGCTGATTGGACTTGTTATCCTTCTTATAGAAGATCAACCACTGGTTATTGTACTTTCTTAGGAGGTAACGTTGTCTCATGAAAAAGTAAGAAACAATCTGTGGCAACAAAATCCAGTGCTGAGGCCGAGTATAGGGCAATAGCTCATACAACGAGTGAAGTGACTTAGCTACTACACTTCCTCCAGAAAATTGGGTTTCCAGTTCAACTTCTTTTACAGTTGTTCTATGATAACCAGGCAGTTATCCATATCTCTGTCAATCCGGTGTTTCACGAGAGAACCAAACATATTGAGGTTGATTTTTATTTTATTCGGGACAAGATAATAGCCGGAGAGATTATAACTCTATTTGTAAAATTTGAAGATCAGCTTACAGATATGTTTACCAAAATATTTAGTCGTACACGTCTTACAGCGATTTGTTCTAAACTTGGATTATATGATATATATAGTCCAGCTTGAGGGAGAGTGTTAAGAATATTAGGGTGGGTCTAATGTAGTCTTGTCTTAAAAAAATTTGCATCACCATAAAAATTATAGAATGCAAAATCATCTTATTTGAATAACTCAAGTTTCTACATCAGGAAACATAAATTGAGTTGAACACCAATTTGCAAGCCTACAACTAGAGGTTCTAGGAGAGGTTATAATCCTCTCTCCCACCCCCAAAACACCACCAAGAGGCTCAAAAAAAATTTAAAAAAACAATGATAGAACATATCTAGAAGCTATCATTTCCAACAAAAAATTACTATGAAATATGCTTTTCTCCAGCCATACTTATTCGTGGGAACAAGTTAACTGCAATTATATCCCCTTCAACCAAACAAGTTCTATGTAATGTTGATAGCAACATCACAAAAAAAAGAAAGTATATAAGTGAATTCGACAATGTTAAGATTGTATATTATCCTTGCCTATTTTATCATGGTCGTTTAGAGTTTCTTTTATTGTAGGGTTTTATATTCTCTATTTATTATAGTAGGGTTTATTGTTCTCCCTATTACCAATATGTGACAGTTCCTTATAGTATTCTCTTCTATCTTCCTCTAACTCATCTTGGTATAATTTGAGCTCCGTTTTCAGACAAACTGTAAATAACTTCAACAATTTGATCACCTATACCATTTAACTACAATGGAAAATTGTCCAGCAAAAATAATAGTCGAACAAGAAAAATGAAGATTATCACAATGCTTCAAATCAAAGCTCTCATAATGGGTCAATGCAGGGAAGCCAACATTTATGAACATACATCTTTTTTCAGTGAATTTGAAAATACATATATTTCTTAACAGAAATGCAACAATAAACAAATATCAAAAGATTGTGAATTTTTGTTTTACACCTTCCACATAACACTTCTTAAAAAAGATGTTGCAATGATGACAATCTCTTGCAGCAGCTAGCAAATGATATAAGATTAACAATGACTACAAAATTTCTAGTAACATGAAAGCACTAGCACCCACCTCCTATACACCGCAAAATTGAACTACGATCAAGAGAATTCCTACTTGAAAGATGAAATGTGCTTCCTTCAACTGGTATATATTACTTTTGTTTGCCTATGCTTGAAGGCTTGAAATTAATTTTCCGCTTCTTGTATGTTTCTGCTTTGACACTCTCTTTCAGTTTTGCCAATGCTGCCACATAGCAAAGATTGAGATTCAGACCTGGCAAAAAATTTAATGCAATTTCCGAAATGAAAGCTGAATGTACATCCTAATGATCAGTAAAGATGTTCTGTCAAATTTGTGACAGATTGGAACCAACCATTCAATGGGATCTAACCCAAAAGATCTCTTTAGTTACAGATCAGCTTAACATATAATTTCCCTCTCTCTTTCGCTCTCTTACTACGATATTATCATTGTGAAAACCAACAACGAAGTTTGGGGCCGAGAGAAACTAGGAAAAGGCCAAAAAAATTATCTAGACTGACTAATTCATTCAACATTAAAATGCATAAAACTTTATGCAAATGAGGCAATATTATATAACTTCATTATCTACTGAGCTGTATGATCTTTAAGAATTAAGGAACAGCCCATGCGATGATGAAAAACTAAAAAATTGTGTGGTCCATTGAACAAAAATACAAGAAATTACCAGAATTATATATAGAACGAAGTGAGTCTATTGATTCTGAAGGAACAGAGTGAACAGGACAACAGTTATTATCAGCTTTCAGTAATAGCTTCTTGAATCGCTTGACCTGAAATGAATAAAGAGTGGATGACTTGCAAAGGTAATGCGTGATTGACTATAACATAAACAATATTAACCATCTAAACTGTATCGCTTCCAACATTAATGGGGAACAGGGTCCATAGTAAGTTCACAAACAGGTCACATGCACTGGATACAACCCACCAAGCTCCAGACTGAATTAACAAATTTTAAGCAATTAAAACCTATTACGAGTTTATTGCTGAGTCTTTGACCTGGGAATCATCAGGACTCACCAAGAGATGTAATCATCTCAACTACCTGATAATAAGCCATTCTTATTTTGTTATATTTTGTAGAAGGATTCTCCATTAAAAGAGGCAGTAATGTGTTTGCATAATTATCTTGGGAAGTGGAAATACAGAATCTGAAGAAGCCAAAGTCCCCAATAAATGTAGCCTGGTAACTATAAAACTGGAAACATACCTCTTCTTTGTGCAGCAGCGTAAAGCAACAACCAGTCTGGCCTGCTCTTGCAGTTCGACCAGCCCGATGGATGTATGTCTTAATATATGCAGGCATATCATAATTGATGACGTTTCTCACCCCATCGACATCCATTCCACGGGTCATCGCATCAGATGAAACAAGTACTTGTATTTTCCCTGCACGGAATGCCCTCAATGTTGTACTGCAAAATACATTTTCATGCTCTTTAGGATCATTTTAAATCAAACTCCAGATACANCGCATCAGATGAAACAAGTACTTGTATTTTCCCTGCACGGAATGCCCTCAATGTTGCACTGCAAAATACATTTTCATGCTCTTTAGGATCATTTTAAATCAAACTCCAGATACATTTAAGTGTGACAAAATATTGTCAGTCAAAGAAGAAATATTAATCTGTCTTCTAAAATGAACTGAACCAGTGATCATATAGAAGCTACAACATTTTTGTTTTGGTGACCTGCAGTTTGTATAGCATGATATCAAGTATAAAGCATGACAAGCTAATTGGTATTCCAGAAAATTTCGTTTTCTCCCCAAAACAGGGAAGAATAAAACATATTAGTGAAATTTTCATAACAATTTGTCTCTTACAGCAAATTATAGTGCCACTCCTGACTGACAGCTTCTGGATTAAGCAGAGTGTAATTCAAACTATTATGGAGCTAATAGTCACATCTTATCAATGAAACTCTCATCTTCTATTCAGAATTAAAATAAAGCAGGAAGCCAAAACCCTGTGCATCGAAACTAACAAAAACAAATGTCAACCGAGGATCAAAATTTCTTTTCAGTCCATTGTTTCAGTTACCTAGAAAACATTAACAGATCAGAAATGTCTTGGAAATATAATCGAAATGAACAAAGAAATTGGAAATTTATTTTTAAAATATTCTGAAACATTAGTTGAAATATGTTAAAAGATCTTGAAATAACTCGAAACATTCCGAAACAATGGTTGAAACAAGCAAAAACATCTCAAAACACCTTGAAACATTCTAAAAAACATCCAAGCGTCGACATTTTGGTTCCATCACCAATTCGGTTTGGTCTCTTTGGAAACGAAAATGTTTCAGACGTTCCAACCTTTTCAAAACTAAATTTTGATTCTTGATTTCAACCATGTAGTTAGTATCCTTATTTCTAACATAATAGTGAAAAAGAAAGTAAACAAAATATAAATTCACACCATTACTGCATATTGATCCCCTTAGTGAGCACTCATGGAGGTTAAGAATCTAAATAATATGTGTATGTTCGATGGGCTATGTTGGTTTCAACATCTTCCTGATAAGGCTTCTTATGATGGGCATATATATATGAGCAGTTTTAAATTAACCACTCTTTTGAAGGCACTGCAAATTCTTTACTCCGTCAGAGTTTAAACCTTAAAAAGCACATTCCAAGAGAAGTGGGATGTGTTGTGAGGAAATAAGCTTTGCACCAGGAACAAATTTAAAATCTTTCTCTGATTATTATACTAAACATCATATAAATCAGGTGGTGAACACCTTTTTCTTCTTGACCTTTTTCCTTCTTTTGATGCACAATCTCAAATCATGGTATTAACATGAACAAATCTAGAAAGCAGCCGACTGCCGTAAGACATCAGCAGTTATCAGAATGCCAACAGCTGATGTCCTTATGGTCAAACACCACAAACAGTTGAACCAAGGCTCATATATCGTCTGCCAGTCACAGTTTGTTTTCAACGTTTTTATCCAATTTGAGATGGGGATAAGAGACAAATTTAAATTCAATCTCACCGACTCTGCTAGTCTTAGTTCAATCAAAGTGTAAACCCTTCATGCCGATTTAACAGTACATCCTTCTCATTCTCTGCCCCATTTGGCAATAGATGGTTTATACTTTCATTCGCGAATTTTTAGATCCACATGGGTATACATTATTTAAAAAGCAGTACAAGACTTCCAGATTCACAAATTTTATATCTAATTTGAAGCACGTATTAAGATCCTTCAGTATGTTAATGGAATGCAGCTTACAACCAATATGTCAATATTGTGCTTACAGAAAATATGTAGATGGTACAGCCAATGGCATTTAACATTGCGCAGAGACCAAAATACATTTGATTATGCCAATATGCAACTACATGAAAAAGTTTTCCACAGCACAAGACTTAACATTATCCTCCCGAGAAACACATATCAAACCATGATAGGATTGCTCTAGTTAAATATTATACTGTACCCCAATTAAAAAAAAACTAATATACTATACGAGTCCATCATTCACGTGTCCCACGTTTTCATGTTTTGTCAGAAGACCACAATACGGCATCTTCAGTGCATTTCAATCTTATCTAACAAAATAAATTGACAAAATAATTAATACAACACTTCGCCATTATTGTTAAGTAAGCTATCCAGATTTACCTTCTTACAGATTGGCGTTGAAGACCTGAGTACTCCTTGATCTTGATTTGCAAATCACCAAAAAAATTTAGTAAGGTACATAGTCTATGTGTTGACTCTACAGATGATGTGAAAACGATACTTTTTTCCCCTTCCAAAGTTTGCAAAAGGGCAACCAAATACAGGGGTTTGAGCTTTGATTCACATATCTGCACAAAAGTGGGGAGAGCAAAGTAGTCAGAAGTGATTATTCTCTACTGTATAAAAGCACAAAAAAAAACACCCTTATAGAGAGGCTCTTCCAACAAAAGTCGACCACTTTACTTTAATTTTCAATGCTTTTAAGCCATTGTAGCCACCTCACTTCAGTTATTTGTACTGCCTTATGCCTTAATTCAGCTATTTGTACTGCCTCTGCATACTGTAACACATGTTACCATCCAACTCAAAACCAATTAGCATAGAGTGGAGAAGACCGCAAAGGACATATACTAGTTTGGAAGGCAATATTGTACCGATGTTGCACAAGCTCTAATACCCCCAAAGTGTGACTGACGTATGGAGANAACCAATTAGCATAGAGTGGAGAAGACCGCAAAGGACATATACTAGTTTGGAAGGCGATATTGTACCGATGTTGCACAAGCTCTAATACCCCCAAAGTGTGACTGACGTATGGAGATAAAAGAAAAATCAGAAGAATTGACCAAATATATAAATGTTGACATCATATGACGAAAATATAGAGGAACCAATACCAAATGAATGAAATTGAAACAAAGAGTCTTGTCTAAAGGCTACCAACATCTGGCTCTAATATAATATCAAAGGCATCCAATTTGAAACCAAATGGCAAGGAGTGGAGATGCTCACAAGGCACATGTACTAGATTGGGAGGTGTTACTATACCGATATGTAGGACAACCTTCAAATAACACCCTGGGCTTCTCTTTGGGCCTTAGTCATAGATGTTTCTCTTCTTCAAGCAAAAAAAAAAGGTTTCACTAGCATGCTTGTTGCTATGAAGCACGGATACTTCGTTAAGGTTGATGTATCCGTAACGAATACCGTATCAGATACAATACTCGTCGGATACTCGAGGATACGTATCGGATACACACCAAATGTATCCAATAATAAATAAAATATGTGTATACTTCGATAATCCTTCTATATGTGGAGAAGTATGTGTAATTGTTAGTTTTAATCTTTACCCCATCCTTTTCCAAGTATTATCCATTATAAAATCTCCAAAGACTTAAATGAGTTGATTACTCTATAATCTTAGCAACAAATACTTCTAAGTAAACAATATAGTTAAATGTTAGTTCTTATTCCTGTAATTAATAACATTCACTTTCTAGATATACCATAGTGAGACTATATGTAACTTTTTGAAAATAAAAAATTGTTACATAATTAGTGTTATCAAGTCATTACATTATAGTAAAAAATACAAAATATATATTTATTGACGTATCCTGTTCGTGCCCTTATTCTATCTTTTNCTAGATATACCATAGTGAGACTATATGTAACTTTTTGAAAATAAAAAATTGTTACATAATTAGTGTTATCAAGTCATTACATTATAGTAAAAAATATAAAATATATATTTATTGACGTATCCTGTTCGTGCCCTTATTCTATCTTTTGAGGTTTTGTTATATCACCATATCCGTATCTTACCCATATCTCGTATTCATATCCGTGCTTCCTGGCATGCTTGTATACAAGTCTTTGTTTACTACTTCTTTCATGCAAGCAGGGTTTGTATATAAGCAGATTTGAAGTCCATTGATACAAGCTTAGAAAAAAAAATCAAGTATTGTTGTGACCACAACTCTCACATAANTATCTTACCCATATCTCGTATTCATATCCGTGCTTCCTGGCATGCTTGTATACAAGCCTTTGTTTACTACTTCTTTCATGCAAGCAGGGTTTGTATATAAGCAGATTTGAAGTCCATTGATCCAAGCTTAGAAAAAAAAATCAAGTATTGTTGTGACCACAACTCTCACATTATCGGCCACAAGGACTCTGTTTACCTTAAGTGGCACGTCCCTCAAGTTGCACAATTGTATTAGCCATTTTTGAGCTGGAGGCTCTGGCACATGCATGCACCAGTTTCTGCCAAACAGCAACTTTTATTTACATTTCATATTTTAATAAACTTGACTTTTAAAACAATTGATTCTTCAAACTTTGATAAATTTTATTATATTTCAAGACCAAAACTGAAGCAATGACATAAGAGTTAAAACTTGTGGCTTGACTAGGTTCTCAAGTCTTAATACGTCAAACCAAATGAACACATGTAAGACATCAGTGTAGCGTTTTGGACAAAGGCAGCAGTTGATAGCACGAGGAGAAGCTGTCAAAGTTTGAGCGATAGAAGCTGAAGCTCTCTGTGATTGTGAAGCTGGTACATCTTCTTTTTGAGGTGTGTTGTACGCTTCAAAATTCAAATCGACCACTTACATTGTTGAAACTAACTAGGGGAAAAAAAAAAGGAAATGCAATAGATAGCACACAGGAACAGCAAACTTAAAGTAGAACAGAACCATAACTACAAAGGAAGTGCATTTTGCAGTATGTCGTATGTGATCATACCAGTTTGAAGGATTTTAGTTGTTCAGGGAGCTGATAACGACTTTGCCCAGTGGTCAAGAACAAAGGATGATGCAGATCAAGCTGAGCAAGCTTGCTTGGATCTTGAGTTAGTGTGGCAGATAGAACCATCTTCACAAGCCTCGGATAAGATTTATCCTTGAACCCTCTTTCTACTCCACTGCATCAATTTAGAGAAGATTTAAAACGCAAGGCTAACCACACTTCTCAAACACAACTTATGGGCGAAGTTTCAGACTAAGATGAACTAGATCCCACAAGTGCCTAAAATTTTCAGCAAAAAATTGGCATAGCACTCCTACTCCATCATTTACATAATCCCAGGGGCTGATTTGCAGTAGGAGCTGCCCCCACTGAAATTTTAAAAAATTTTGGAACCTAATTAGAATTTAGGAAAATTTCAGAAGTACTTAAAACTTGCCCCCTGTGAAAATTTATAAAACAGTTGGGGTTTGGTCTATAATTTATTCTGGAATAATTTACTCCTCGCACGAGTATCTCTCTTCTTTCCTTCTCTTCCCTCTCTGTCCTCTTTAGTCACCAGCCGAATCAATCGTCCTCAAGAATCACACAGGCTGCATAGTCCATTTATCTCCACCTTGTTCTTGTATCCCTTTTTAATCAGCGGTTTTCTCAAAACCAATCATCATGTAAATTTGCTCATGATAGGAGCCCTAGAATTCTCTATGGAGGAGCTGTCAAGAGGTAACCTAATAACCCATCAAAAGTTTTTTAGATTTTTGGAGATTTGATCATTTTTTTAATCTTTTTATTTTATGAGAGACAAAACATTGTGGTCTATAAGAAAAAAAGTACTTGTTTTCTTTCCAAAGCATTGGTGTTTGTTAAATGTTTGTTAAAATGCCACAAACAAAAGCCATAAGAAAATGAGCGAAGTGTGCCAGTAATCATGACTACACAGGAGGCCTATAGAAATTATTCACTGGCGAAGCTCAAAAGGGCTGCAATTTTGAACTATTTGAAATCTTAAACTTTTCAAGTGGAATGGTTCGTCGATGTGCATTGACCTTGATTACCGAGTATTCATACCAATACATTATTTGGGAATTTGCCTTTTATTGATTATACTTGGAATTAAATTGTTCCATTAATTAAACTTTACTAATTTTCTTGTAATTGATTAAATTTTCTTGTCTTACTTCGGTTTAATAGACTTGGAATATGTTGAATTTTTTCTAAAGTTTTTTTGATAAATTTGTTTGATTTATTTTAGTTATTTATGCTCCTTAGAAGGTATTTGTTAAAAATTCAAGGACTAAGTATTGACTTTAAGTCTTTACCAATCAATGAGTTTTAACTTTCAAGTTGCCCCCACTAAAGAACAATGCTGTCTCTGCCCCTGCATATTCCTACCCATCTTTCCATGAGACTCAAAACTCCTCTTGCAGACATAGTCTAAGCATCAGGATTGACATCCATAGCAGTTAGCCCCAATGCAACTTCATTCAACCAAACCCAGTGTTATGCTAAAGGAAAGCATCTGAGCGTCAAAAATATTGTCAATAGATTCCCAAAAATTCTAAACAACGGAACACCAATATTTAAAGAATGACTTATGAAAGCCCCAAACATATATATTCTTTCACCAAATAGGCACTTAACCACTTTAGGGCTTATGTTTAACACTTTTAAGGTTGCCAGTTCATTAGCCAAGGAACAATTCAATAGATATGACAGGATAAGACTGAAATACATTGATATTCAATGGCAGTTTGATCCATATTTTTCAATACCATTTAGCATTCAAACCAAGCAATAATTCCAGTACCGTCCAACCCTCAATGCATACGCAGAAAACACCTAGTAATAATTGATTAAGGAATGAAAAAGAACTTAGAACTCACAGTCGCCTTATGGTCTTCAAGGAATCAAATGTGGAGGGAAGAGAAGTGTTGGAATATGGGAAGAGACTTTCAGTGCAAGAGCATGTCAATTTTAGCACCGTAGGCAGCCAGGATTGGTATGCCTCCCTGAGTAGTCGATCTGTTTCATCAACCACCTAAATATTACCTTGTCAGCAAATTTATCAATTTTGATTGTCCTATCAACGACATATTCTAAAGTAATAAGACCAAAGAAACAAAAGCTGGCTACTGGTGATACTTTGATTCAGGCAACTAACATAGGCTTTTTAGTGGTAACATTTATTGGACAGCCCAAAGATAACTCATGTACATACTGAGTCACAATACATAAAAATAACTAAGATGCTCAACTTCATTACTATTAAACTTGCTTGTGGGAAAACTCGATTTGAAAAGTTGGAGTGTAAACTGACCAGTGAAATTAGTGGCAATTCACCTTAACCATTTAAGCCTTTAATAACACTTTCCAACCATCTATATATATGTTCTGCCACATGTTAGCTTTTCACCCTAGTGTTGAAATGGATATGGTGGCGTGTCCTCCTTAGAGGCTATTATTGAATGACACAAAAACTAGAGGAGGAGGGGAGAGAGAGAGAGAACAGTACTTGTGACCCATCTGCAACTTACAAGATAACAAAGATGCTTGAGTGTAAATCCCTTAGTGTTATTGATATGGTCTATCAGCCTCCCAGGAGTTGCCACTAGTATGTCCACCGCACTTTGCAACTCCTGTGAGAAATCTTCAGGATCATAACAGATGCCTGCACAAAGCTTAGGTCTCTTGATAAGCTCTGAAATTTCATCAGCAATCGAAGATTGACCAACTGCCAAACCAACAGACAGCCCCACCGCAGGTGCAATAGTGGCAAAGACTTCCTTGACCTGAAATAATAAAGAAACGGGTATGGATATTTTTTAAGGGAGCATTTAAAGAGCAGTGGTATTGACCAACGATTTTAAAACATTCAGATTAAGCCATTAGTCCTTCATGCAATTTTAGCCAGCCCATTCACATTTCCTACTGCTTAAATGAAGTCCTCTTAAGGATTCTATGAATATTTCCATATTTCATTACGACTTCCAGTTTGCAGATGATGTTGATGGCAATGTCCACTCCCAGCTTGATACACTTAATCAAAAGAAAGCCTTGATTTTCTTGATAAAAATAAAACAGAGGCAGGCCAACTACTTTGGCCGCATTTCCTAATGAGTGGCTTTAGAAGATTAGGTCCATGACTTCAATTTTCCACAAATCTGTGGATGGTTTTCTTATATGTCTCCATAAAGATTTCCTCACCAAATGACACTATCTCCTGCTCACCACTGGATTGCAGTGCTATCATTTATGGGAACTGCTGGGAGGTGTTAGCATCAAGGATCAAAATTTCATTTCAATGCATAATTTCGGTTGGCCTAGAAATGGAATTGTTTCGGTAATGTTTCAGAAACATTGCAAAAACAAGAAAAATTGAGAGTTTGTTTCCGAAGCATTGGTCGAAACACCCCGAAATATTTGTCAAAACATGTCGAAACATACCGAAACACACCAAAACACCTCAAACATATGAATTTCGATATTCAATCAATGGTTCGTTTCGATCTCCATGAAAACTGAAACATTTCGGGTATTTCGACCATTTCGAAATGAAATTTAGTTCCTTGGCTAGCATAAATAACAACAATCTTTCTCTTTGAGGCTTTCACTACTCTTGATTAGGATAATCAAGATGCTAAAAAGCAGAAAATACTCCAACAGACATAAAGACAGAAATATAGCACTACAACTACTTGTTGAATACGAAACAAGTACACTGCTACTTTGTGAAGTTGATTATGTTAAATCAACAAAATATGTGTAAAAGTCATTCCCAGCATAAAGAAGATTGACACATTTCGATTTGCTGTGAGGTTGCCATGTCAAAACACCAATTGTCTTTGCCGCATACATCAAATTTCACTGAATTTGTGACAGATAGTTCTTGAACTAGTTCAATCTACCCAACTTGACTTTCTTTTCCATAATAGATATGTTTCACTATCAAGCCTGAGCTGTCATCACATTAGTGTATAATCAAAAGTTCCCAATCTTAATTTTAAGCTAAAACATTAACTCTATGAAAATCAACGAGCCATGCTTCATGGAACAGAATCTTAGGCAACTAAGAAACAACACATGTAAAAACTAAGTTTAACTGAAATGTGTGTGTCAAGATGGATGTGTAGAAAAATCATAAAAGATAGAATTAGAAATGAGTATATTCATGAATCAGTAGCAGTAGCACCAATAGGAGATAAATTAAAAGAGAATCAACTTAGATATTTGAATAAAGGTTGCGTGCAATTAACATGGACCAAATAGTGAAAAAAAAAAAGTGATGGCATGTGATACAACAGAATATATCGCCAATAATGGAGTACCATGGCAGAAGATGATTCATGAACAGACTCCAAAAAATTAGTATAAGATTTTGTTAAGTTGAAAGAGGCTGAGTCTCTCATCCTCTAAAATCTCAACCATTTAGCTGGTATCCAATGACATCATAGCTAAATAGATTTCTAAATCTTCAAGCTCACCGAATACATTCCACTTTCCTAGGCCACCAATTAGCACCCTTTTTCACTGGTGCCATTCAGCATCTCTTGTAAACACATTTAAATCATCCTAGTTGCTCCTCCCTTATTCAGACACTTTCTTTCTTACTCCTTTCCTTAGATTGAACACGTCCTCTCTCGATTTCAGTGTGAAAATCAACAAGCAATTTAAAGGGCTAAAGATCTTCAATTTTAACATTAGTAACTTCATTAATGTGACATAATCACTGCATATGCTTGACCTATGACAACACAATCAACAAGGTAACACATTACAGGCAGAAACTTGTACATCCGAGTTCAATTTAGCTACCAAAAGTAGATTTTAAAACGAAAAAAGTTAGACTATAAGGGAAAACAATCACGAATCATTGGAGAGAGAGAGAGAGAGAGATAAAGCAGTATTTCCTATACATAAAATCCCAGGAAGAGCAATGAATGTACGGTGAACTGATATGTAAAAGTTAGTGTGTAACCTGCATGGCTAAATCACGAGTGGGCAACACCACCAAAGCACGAAGACACTTAACAGCACGAGTTGACAGCATTTGCACAATGGGCAAAGCATAAGCTAGGGTTTTCCCACTTCCCGTTGGTGAGTTTATACATAAGTCTCTCTCGAAAGAACCAGGTCCTATGGTCTCTTGCCAAACTGCAACTTGGACTGGAAAGAGTGAACTAATACCCATATTCTGTAGAGCCACTTCCAACCTAACGTAGAAAAATTAACAACTCAATAAAAGTACAAAAAAGAAGTGAAAGGAGAATAAATAAAGTATCTCAGTTAGGATTCATAAATGAAGTTCAATACCAAGCTCAAGCAAAGAAACTTTTCTATTTTTAAGCATTGGCACATAATGACTAAAGACAACTACAATTACAATTGAAAGTAATATTTAGCCTTAAAATCAATAACAATCACGGCCAGCTCTTAAATGGAGAAAATTTCAGTATTATGATTCCGGGGGAAAACAATCAACTCGCAGATACCTTGAATGGCACGACCTCACTGGTATAACACTTCGTGCTCATAATTTCAAGTCCCTGATTACCTGATGTGCAAGGCTCAGGGATGGTTCTGTACATCCCTAGCTTGTGTTGTTATAAAGATATATAAAGAAAAAGAATTTACCCTGACCTGTTGAAAGATACAATACTGTTGCAGTAAGATCAACATTGACAAGGGTTTCACACAAAAATATTTGGAAGCCAAAAATGGATACTTATTGACCGATTCAAGTCAACAAAAATAACATTAGAATTGTTACAAGTGACTGCTCAGGTGACAAAGGATCACTTTTTAATTTTTATTCATGTGTTCATTTAGCAATAATTAAAACATTATGATTTTTTCAATAAGACGAAAAGGCATGATGAATAGAAGTCATAAGTTGATGAGCGCTGCTGAAGGAATCATTGTCTATGCCTTATTTTATCACTTTAAAAAATTAGAAATTTCACTAATTCTGCAGCTGCTCTTTTTAAATTTTTAGCTTATATTGGAAAAGAAGCCAAACCCAAGAAGAACAATCGAAGAAACAGTATTGGGGCAAACAAAAAGATTGCCCCTTCCCCAATTGGCATTAACCAACTAATTATCTCTAATTACCATGTTATTAGCCCACCTGCATATATTTCACTAAAGAAAGAATATATCTATCTACATATTTATCACAATCATTTTAGTAGGAAGAATGCTTGAGAAACCTTCTCTTGTCATTTTCTCCATTCTTAGAATTTTGATTTATTTTCATACATTCACTCCAATCACATTGCATCACTCCACTATCTAATAACTAATGACACAATTTTCCAAAAAAAATCACTTTCTATCACCTTAAATTTTCATAAGTCTTTTTCTAGCTTCTTAATTGGTGGGGTGATAGGGAGGAGAAAGGGAAGGGAAGGGAAGGGAAGGGAGTAGTCCCCTCCAATTGAACTCTTTAGTATGGCCTATGTAACCATGTTTATCATCTTTGTTAACTACTTTACATTTGAATCTTCCACCATCTTGACAACTACATTATTTCTAGTTTTAAAAAATTAATTTAGCATACTAATGAATATTTTTTTTTCAATAATGTTGTGGTGGATGGGAACAGGGGTAACGGTAAGGGTATGAGCTGATGGAGCGGAGAGATTATAATTTTTATACATTGCACGGGACCGCGGTAATATATGCATATAAAAAAGATGGACGGATGCACTCGCATGTGGGTATCAATATACAAAGAAGATTAGAATAAAGAGCAAGTACCTGGGATCGAGAAAAGGAAGAAAATTAAGAGGGCATTCTTCGATAAGATTAACATCAACAGGATTTCTCATCCATGGCAGCACCGGCAAACTTTTCTTTTCACTCCCTTTCTTCTTCTCTGCTGCCTCATCCATTCTCTTGTTTCAATAAAATTGGGCGTGTGGGTTTTTGTGGGTGTGGAGACAACAGACAAACTGAGACAGAGACACGCAGAGAGAGACAGAGGTGGTTCTTTGACGGCGGAGAAGAAGAACCCTTGATATATATAAATTATATAATTAGAATTTTCAGAACCCAAAAATTAAAAACAAAAAAATTGTGCAAGGATGATTAATAGAACTCATCAAAATCATAATAGAGTAGCTGAATCGGTCAGGGGTCCGGTTTACTTTGCCAGTTAAAGACGAAAGAAGAGATTAGGAGTTAGTCTTTGTGTGGGGGTGGCGAGAATTGGGAGCCGAAGAGGTCACAATGAACAGAACTGAAGTAGAGAGGAAGAAAAAAAAAGGGAGAGTCAGAAACAAAACCAGAAACGAGAAAGGCTAAGAGTGGGCTGGACTGTGGAGGAGACTGAGAAGAGACGAAGACTGGAGTAGAGTCTCTACAGAGTCTGAACTGCAGCCAAAGTGCCCATCCGAGAGAGAGAGAGAGCGAGCGCCGATGGGGAAGCCGGCGTAGGGGAAGGTTTTACTTGGTTCCTAGGTTTACCAAATTTTTATTCAAAATATAATTATTTAAGGTTAATTTATCCTTTAAGGTTAAAACTGTAAATTTATTTTTTTTTTGGAGCAAAAATTGTAACGTGTTCGAAAAAAAAAAAGAAGGTTAACGTACAAAAGAAAAATAGCTTTAATATAATAGAATCAATCATCAAAAACATAATTTTTAGAGTCAAATAATATTATTCTCTAATGAAATTATAATATTTTGGGTGTTTAATTAAAGTTACATTATCTGTGTCAAATCTAATATTAAAATCAAATATTAAATATCTAAAAATTATAATTATATCTCTAAAAACTAATGACTTATGCTTTGTTTGGTATGATGAAAATTTGAAAAANTCTAATATTAAAATCAAATATTAAATATCTAAAAATTATAATTATATCTCTAAAAACTAATGACTTATGCTTTGTTTGGTATGATGAAAATTTGAAAAAATAAAAAAGTTAAAGTTGAAAAAATAGATAAAATATCATATTTTGTAAAAAAAAATAAAAAAGATGAAAAAATTTGATAAATTAGTCTTTTTTCTAACTTACGAAAATCTATCCCTCTAAAATTTGGAGAAAATATTGAGCATAACTATTATACCATATCATCATTGTTGATATGGGGTACCCATCCAGTAAGAAAATAATAAAATAGATAAAATAGGACCAACTTCATATCACGGAGAAAATTATGTATTATACGACTAGATGGTTATGAATTTTGGTGAGACTCATTTGTTGTATACTTATTAATGAACAGTTATACTATGTGTCAATACTAACAGAGTGTAACGGTTACTCTTAACATTTTTTCGAAAAAATGGATGGAGAAAAGTTAACTATATGTTCTGAATTTTATGTTATTTACCTTTTCTATCTTTGAATGTGTGCATATATCCTAATTATATATTATATATTATGTACACATTCATTTCATATATAAATATAATAGTAAAATACGCATCGATATGTTTTTAATTCTTTCACTTTTTTATTCTATTATTAAATATAAAAAAAAAATCAATCATTTCTACTTTTTATCCCTCCTACCACACACAAATAAGAGAAGGAATGTTACATTGAACGATAAAAAATGTATCATTTTTACTTTTTATTCTTCAATTTTTTTTCATTCACCCTAACAAAAAGGCTATTAAGCTTAAAAGTTAAAATTTTTTAATATAATTACACAAAAAAAAAAAAAAAAATTTATTGGAAGAGTTTGTACCACTTAGCTACCTATGTTGTATTTTATTTGCCTCACTTTCAGTTGAACTTGTTCTTAATCTGCGGGCTGAAGAGGAGTTGGCAGAAAATTTGGGGCAACTCCCCTCCATACAGTACAATTCAAGACATCAGCTGCATTCCTAACTAAACTATACCTTTTTTTTTATGTAGTAGTTTTTTGATGAGTTTATTTTACGTTTCGTTTGCTATATGGTAATATTTTTAAGCAAGAATAGAATGGATCTGAGAATAAAATGAGTTTGAAAATAGAACAGAATGAAATGTTCATTACCATTCTAATGTTCGATAATTATTTGAGATTGTTTTGGAATGAAATGTGGCACATCTTCCATTATTACACGTGTTATGACATTAAATAAGCCCACATGAGGTTGACAAGACAAGGCACGTGACGGAGATATCAGCTACTCGGTCAATTGGTCCTGGCCGAACTAAGCAATATGGTTCGGCGAAGAAATGAAAGAGCTCGACTTGTACCAAACCGAGCAGATCAAAGTGCTTGGCTCTCGATATGACCGAGTTGTTCAGAACAATAGATAAAAAGATAAATATAAGCCTTTAATTTAGGCATTTTTTAATAAACAAATCAACAAAATTGTAGATGTCAGGAGAAATTGTTGGAGAAATATTAGCAACTTCCTAAATTGAATCACTAAAATAAAGGAAGATGTGCCACCTTGAATCAGAAATCACAGAAACTCTAATGGGATAACCATCTATAAAAAGCAGAAGAAACTAAGGTGAAAGGGACGCAGAACTCTCCTTTTCTTCTAGCAATAGCTTCAAAACCATTAAATGACTTAAGCATCAGAGTGCCTTCGATCGAACACTTCGATCTTGGGCAATTTGTTCGTTTTGTAGGGAGAAGATTGGGATATCAAGTTCAGAGACATTTCTAGCCAACAAGATCACATCATATTCCTTGTGAGAAGTATTAATAATTTTTTGACTCTTACATTTTTGGCGTCGTCTGTGGGAAGATATTCATCATTCGCAACGAAAGGTTACGATGTCAAAACTCAGAAGTGCCATTGGATCACTTGTAGGCAGCTTTGACATGAAAAAATCTGATCCTATATCATGTCCATCTGATAGCAACGTTAGGTTACATATTAACAAAAACCCATCTAGACCCTATGAGGATGACGAGGTATCCTCAGCAAGTCACAAACAAACTACGAATCAGAACCATCATGGGCAAGATCGTGGTGAATCCCTTCGTGTCAAGGGTAAAAACCGCTATTTGATTAAGTTGGTCCAACCCCTGCAGGGCCGACTTGATGCTCATGACAAGTTGTTCAAGAAATATTATACCAGGGAAAAGGATTTGATAAAGGTTAATGAAGAATTGAAAGTCAAGCTGAAGGGGATGACAAAGAAAGATAAGAGAGGGAGAGACAACCGACGAGAAAGTCCCAAAAAGAAGCATGTCAGAACCAAGAATCCTAATGACGATGAGTACCAGCAGAAGAAACTTCGAATCCAAGAGGAGGACGTCTAGAAACAGTACATCACCGAGGAACTCAACAACCGTCTTAGACAACCAGAACAGAGGTCAAATAGGGACCTAGCCAGAAGAGTGACAGGAGAATACTGAGATGGCTCGGAATCATCATCTTTCACTGCATAGATCAAAAGTGGGAGAATCCCGAGCAAGTTCGTTGTCCCAAATTTTAAACTTTTCAATGGAAAGACGGACCCGGCCTCCCATATCAGGCATTATAGACAATTGATGACCATTCACCGAAGAAACGAACTCTTGCTCTGTGCCATTTTCCCTAGCAGCCTTGGGGAGTCGGTCATGAAGTGATTCGACTATTTATCAAAGGATTCAAGTGACGAGTGGTCATAATTGGCCGAGTAGTTTATGGCTTGGTTCATTACGAGTAGTAAACAACCTAAGGATATTGGGGTTTTGTTGACTTTGAAGAAGAAAAACAATGAAACTTTGCGAGAGTATGCTCATCGTTATTGAGAGACGATGAATGAGGTTGAGGGATGCAATCCCGAAATTGCAGTCGCGTCTTTCAAAATCAAGTTGTCAAAGGAGAACCCTCTATATAAATCACTTACCAGAAGACCAACCACAAATCTGGAAGAATTGATGGCAAGAATCAAGAAGTATGCCAAAGTCAACGACGACTTATCCAAAGATATGATTAAAGAACATCAAGGCAGGAGGCAGTCCGGTCGTGACAAGCAGACCGAGTCGAGCAAAAAAGGCGGAAGGCAGAATAAGAATGAAGGTTACCCCCAAAAGTCCCCTTTTCTTGGGATAAGCACATTGTTCAAAGAAGCAATTTACAAGATATTGAATCAGATCAAAGCGAAACTATTTTTAAGTGGCCCAATAAGTTAACAGGGGATCCTTCAAAAAGGAACCCAAACTACAGGTGTTCGTATCATCAAGATATGGGTCATATGACCGAGAATTGTCGATATCTGAAACAACACTTAGAGGAACTGGTCCAGGCTAGGCATCTCGCCGAGTTCATCGAAGATGGGGCAAGAATCGATGGAGGGAGAACCGAACCGAAAGGAGATCAGAACACCCCAGCTGCAGTGATAGATGTAATACACACTGCGACGAATCCGCAGATGTCGACGAACAACACTACGAGGGCGTACATTCAGAAAGCTGCCAAGTAAAGGGAAGTCTACCAATTGCGATTAACCCCGAAGGTTAGGAGCAAAAGAATTAAGATGGAGGAATCGATTGAGACTATTTGCTTCACCGAGCAAAATCTAGTCAGGGATCATCAGCCATACAACGACGCATTAGTAGTCACTCTTAGGATTGCCAAATAAGATGTTAGGCGAGTTCTGATCGATCCAGGGAGTTCCTCAGAAATAATGTACATGAATCTCTTCGAGAAGCTCGGCCTCAAGTAGACGAACCTGAAGCCCTCAAATACTCCACTAATTGATTTTAGTGGAAAAACAGTTCTTCTTAGGGGAAAAATCACATTGCCTGTAAAGACTGGACCAGTTTGCATCATGACCGAATTCCTGGTAGTGGATATAGTCTCAGCTTATAATGCAATAATGGGCCGGTCCTGGTTACATGACATAAAGGCGATACCAGGTTAGTTCCAGAACGTATTTACTGGCCTTAGTCAAAACCAAAGATGAAATAGAGGTTCTAGAGAATAGTCCAATAGCCAAGGAGG